ATCGCCTCGTTACTAACACACTGACGCCATCCAAAACCAGCCGCGATTCTGAGGCATCGGTGGTCGAAAACCTGAAGACGCCTCACACCATCTACCCGCAGAGGCCATGTCTCGCACCCATACAATAACACAGCCCTCACTGTAGCCTGGAACACACAACCCTTAAGATCCAGTGAGATGTCTCACACCCATACAACATTTGAATACTTTCTCCACAGGTCTCAGCTCCAGGACTGACCGTTAATTATCAGCCTGTGACTGTAGTGAAGAAGCCCTCACAAACCTTCCTTAACAGGGAGAATTCGTCAAGCACCTGAATGTGCTGATGAATGTCCCAAACGAGAGATTCACCTGGGCTCCAGGTGGGTCTCTCGGAAAATCGAATTTGTTTGATTTGTTTGATTGTTTGTCGGATGTGTTTCCCTAATTTCGTGCAATTTGGGTTCAAGCAGAACATAAGTTTAACGGAAACTCAGGAACTGCATCCACCTGGTGAGCCCCAAGAAGGGCGAAACCGGCAGTGAGCTGTTGAAGCAATTTCAGCAACTTTATGAGTAGTGTATTACGTATGTACAAAACATGTTTTGATTTCACCCAGGTGAAATTCCGCGTGAAAATTGGCTCAGGAAGTTTAATGCAAATTTCATCCTGTAAGTAAAGCTAGTCCGTGCTTAAAAATCGAGAGGCAATGTACGGTTGTTTCATTCTTATTGTGCGCACCTCACGAAACTGCATCTGAGAAGTGGTTGCTCGAAAAGTCAATCATCAAGTGTAACCACGTGATGTAGATCCCGCGACTGAGGGGTGTACTGTCCAAGTGCCAGCCAATCATGCTACTGATCAGCCATACGGTTGAATGTTCGAACTACTATCCAGAAGGTCACGTCTTCGAGATTTGTTCGCTGGTCATTGCTGCCTTCCTGGATTGGGACCCCGAGATGGGCCACATCAATGGATAGAGACATTGTCAGACATGGCCCAGTCGCACCCTCAGTGATGATCCTGCATCTGAGCTGTTATCTTCAGAGCATAGCTACCTTCCCAGTTCCCCCCGCTTAACAGTTCACTGACAGTTCTGTACCTACTCACCAGTTTATCAGCTCCCGGCTCCAATGAATAGCTACCTAATCCACCTCGCCAAATCATCGGCGAACGAAACTGTGGCAGCTAAAACCACTGTATGACAAGTACACGGTTCTTACAGCTGACAATGATGATGATGATGATGATGATGATGATGATGATGATGATGATGATGATGACAGCTGATCTCCAATAAGGGTGAAACAGCTGTACAGTGCTTCTCAGCTGTTTGATATAGATTGGTTTCACTTAAAGAACGGAATCCCCATTGAAATTCCAAAGTTCCCACTCTGTGCACATAACTCAACTCGTGGAATAGTGAGACATCGATTGTTGCTGAGCCATGTTGTTCAAAAAGCTGAATATCCACTCGGTTGTCTCCTACTGAAGAAAAGAACATTTGGAGTAAGGGGACATGATATGAGGTGCAAAGTTTCGTGGTCTTTGTTTTGTCCTTGCATCAACACCGGAGTTCCTACTCGCTCCTCACAATCTAAATCCCAAGGGAGTCCACCCAATCGGTCCTATCCGCGTGTATGCACGCGGGACGAAATTACTGGCTTCCGGCTATCACGCGGGCGTAACCGGGAAACTTATGGAAGGCATTAAGGATTAAATATCAGATTACAGGCCACCTATATGTGATCTATGTTTGCTTTCAATGCAAAGGGCTTGTCATTCGAAGCAAACAGCGCCAGCGTCCCCGATCAATGAGTAAAAAATGCCTTGCGCTCATTCATTGGTACGTGGCCTCACCATTTTTGCTGGGTTTAACGTAGACCGAAGTCTCCTCTCGTTAATTCGGTGTGGTTGACTTAAATTCATTGACACTACTTGTCTGTATCTGCTCTACAGGCAAATTACCGGTTCACTTGTGCTTTGAATGCCATGCGTCGGTTCTTTTCTACCTGTTTCAACGATCTTGTGGCCACCCAGCAACCAGAAGCCGAGATCCGAAACAAGCACTAAAGTCCAGCGAAAACTCATACCGTTCATGAACATTACTTTCGCAGTCGTGTTTTGTTCTGTCGATAAATTCTGACCAGATACGCCGACCTCCTACACCTCACCAAGGAGCTGGCGCCTAGGTTGACGTTGAAGCGGATCAGTAGAGATTCTGATAAACTTCTGGTTGGCCCTTCTCTAGTAGCAGAATTAGGACAAGAGTTAACACGTGCCAATCAATTCAATCCACCAAAGGGAAGCTATTTTGTGCAAAAGAACCGCCTTCCTTGGTCCCTCCATCTAATAGGGATGTATTCCTAAGATAAAACTCTGATAATCTTGTTTGTTTGGAGGTTGCTGAGATATAACTTCCAGTTAAAGGAACATAAGGTTGACGGAACCTCGAGGATTGCGCCACCTGATGAGCCCCAAAAAGGGCGAAACCGGTTGTGGGCTGTCAAGTAATTTTCAGTAACCTTATGAGTAGTGCATTGCAAATATACATGTGTCGCGATATATCGAATATCGTAGCGACTGAAACATGAGGCATCTTGGTGACGCACATTCAGTTGCCTGGAAACATCACAAACTAGAGATTCAGCTGCCTTCCACGTTAGTCTCTCAAAAAACCTAATCAGTTTGCAAGTGAGTGTATTTCATTAATTTCATACAATTTGGTTTCAAGTAGAACATAAGGTTGACGAGGACTGCACCTAACTGATGAGCCCCAAGAAAGGCGAAACCGGTCGTGGGCTGTCGGCGGATTTTCACTAACCTTATGAGTAGTGCGTTACAAATATAATTTCTGCACCTCTTTACGCGTGCCCAGTGGTCTGTTTGTAGATGGTGAATGGGACTCTGATACCTGTTTGCAACATCAGCGTGCCCAGTGGTCTGTCTGTAGATGGTGAAACTATTCATGACGATGAGACCGTCTATTGTCTCTTTTATGGGACTCTGATACCTGTTTGCAACATCACTGTTACACAAGGACACTGAAAGTTCTGTACCGGTAATCACTGCTACACCGCTTTTAATCAAGTGGATTAAGGGAGACACGCATTTTTGTGCTTCGTGGTATCGAACTATGATAGCTCACAGCTGGAGATCCATGTGGCAGTTGGCGAAGGACAACATAGACAGCTGACGTCGTTGCGTCCCAATGACGTCACATACGCGCGATCGGTGCGATAAATGATCCGTGTGATCCATCTGTCATGAGCATTGATTTGTAAACACGAGGAAATTTTGTCAATTGTCCTCACCGTTTGACAGCACCTGTTTCCTTCAAGACAAGATCAGTTGTCTCTCATTAACTGTGGTGAGGTCAAATGGTTTTGAGCAAGTACCCTCATTTGCACACACATTTGTTTTTGACATGCATCCAGCCGAATCTCCAGTTTATTTTGATGGTCTGCGGCAACTGGATGAGTTGAACCAGGCCACCTCGTGTTCCAGTTGCTATGGTATTCTAGACCTAACATACTACTCATTAGGCTGTTGGAGATTTTTCATAAACCTTGTGAGTAGTGTGTTACTCAACCGGTTTTTTTCAGCGTGGCACTCGAACAGGTCACATTGCAAGCAGGATCGATTTCATAACTTCACACCCACATCTTCCAAACTGATCTGTCCAGGTCAGTCAGCATGAGCTGTTCACTGTGTTGATAATTGCAACCTTCGAACTGAAAGTTTACAACAACAACAACCAGGCATTCGACTCACTAAAAAACAGTAGGGACAGTTGGGGAATATGGGAAACAAAACACAGTCTGGACCGGATTGCCCCTGTGCCAGACACCATGACGATGTAAGATTTCATCAGAACGTAAATGAACTAGTTGGGGCGTGTAGATCTGCAATAGTTGTCTCTGCATCACGACATACTACTGATGAAAGTAGTCTATTTGGAGCACCACTGATCAACTGTTTTTTCCGCACGCTTAATGTCGCTAATATTGCTTTTTGGTTAGAGGTGTAATCGATTTATCTGCTTGCTTGGAAGGACAAGAGAAGTCACCTAAGAAGTACACTAAAGTGATAATTTAGTCATTTAACTGTGAAACGTTGTATTAAACACTCGTCCCAGACCGACGACTTTTAAAGCAGACCAAATTAAAGGAAACTAAACTATGCTGAAAACTGTTCAACAGCCCACGACAGGTTTCGTCCTTCTTGGGGATCATCAGGTAGGCGCAGTCCCCAAGTTTCTGTTAACCTTATGTTCTACTTGATCCCAAATTCGAGAACTACACTCATCTGCAAATCAATATGGTTTACTGTGATATCTCGAATATTGTGCCAACTGAAACATGAGGCAGCCTGTTTGTAGCACATTCAGTTGTAGAATATCATAAACGAGAGATTCAGTTGAGTCTCTCGTGAGAACCAAATTGATTTCTCGAAAACAGACCAAATCAACTTTAGTACGAAAATCTGTTTTCTTCATATACGGTTCTCTTCAAGGGGAAGACTATATTCAACGCTCCCGAAGTATTGTCTTTATGGAAAGAATAACTCCATCCAAAATCAATTCAGATCTTTCATCAATGAGTTGTTTCTTGAGCTCATCGTTTTTCAGGTGAACAAAAGAATGCCGATAACTCGTTTCAGAAGAGTTTGGTAAACAATTGATGGTTTTATAGCTGGACAAAAGCCAAGTCAGGTTAGGTGAGTGGGTTGCCAAGGTGACAGAGAACCAACCAACAAGATCTCTCTCT